TTATCAGTATGGTGTTGTGGAGATTGTTGAATTTTATTGAAATCATGAACCGATCTAAGTTAGACCACCATTGAAAACCTGGAGGCAATCGGGAACCGTTTCATCCTAGTATGGGACTTCTCAGAAGTGCTCATCCGCTGCATTATCACCATTGGTCGTCGGCTCAATAGTCTAGAGGTTAAGCGTCCGCGCTCAGGCTGAGGATCATGGGTTCGAGTCTCGCATGCAAAGTCGTGGATACTTAATGCAGAGTAGTCCCATACTAGGACGTGATAGCCTTCCAATGCTCCCAGGATTTCAATCATGGTCTAACTTAGATCGGTTCATGATTTCTATGAAATCATTATTTATCTGGTCCTAAGTAATAAGCGAAACTACGTTTATCTTGTTGAACGTACGTAGTGTTTGGAGGTTGTTGTTGAAACTTCAGATTCAATATTGTCGGTGGGAATCTAGTTGTGATGAGTTCTTTATAAAGGTGTCTTGATATGTGAGACTTATGTCGCCATAAGCATTGATCAATTTTGTAGATGAACAGTTAAAGTTGTATACCGTGATTTTGCTGACTTATTTCATCGTCGTTCATCTATGTAAATGGTAATAAATAATGCAAATTAACTGATTTGCCAAAAATGAATGGACTTCACCTGACTTTACATCTTATCTGTTGAGTAAGGAACAGTGAAGCTGTCCGACTGAGTAAATTGAAATAAGTTGGGAGCGATTTGAAAGTGTGATCTAAAGGTTTAAAACCGAGTATTTCAACGACTAACAGCCACCTAACCATTAGGCTAACCGTAGAAATGTCTTTTTATTTTATTACAAAAAAACAATAATCTAAAGCGAATTCCTATTGTAAGGTTTTAGTTTTCCAAATGGTGAATCAGAAAGAAGTATCACACAACTGGAGTGGTATGTATATTATTATTATTACCAAGCATGAGGAAAGAAAATAGGTGAAGGATAAATACAAATGGAATAAACTGAACTTAAATGAATCGTAAAGGGGGATTCATGCACTGTCAATTAGTGAACTGAAAAACTTGGGGTATTTGGGCAAGTCTATTTTACTGAAAGGAACTTCCTGTATTAAGCCGAAATACCAGGAACAATTTTGTGAGAATTACTGTTTTATCGTGGTACACTTTACAGCACAAGATAGGTTTATTTACTAAAAGCAAACTAATCGAATAACTTTATCCTGACTTCAAAATTTTCGTCCGGCTCATCAGATTAATAATAGTAACAGCTAAATTATTATTTACTCAAATGATTTTCGATAAATTGGTCGATTCGAAAACAGATAGCCGTATATAGGCGTTTACTGAAGAAGGGTGAGAAAAGCAAAGAAGAACTGGTTACTTATTTCTCTTCTCCAAAAGCTTTGCCTAGTGCACAGACTCACTAAAATGAGACTGAACTCAGAGTCATCACATAAAGATTCTGTCAGGATCTAAAGACCCATCATTTAGATAGAGTCACAACGTTTATTATCAATTGTCTACGATTTATACTATTATTAAAAGTTGTGGAATAATTTTTTTTGTATTTTCAGTCAGATGTTCTCTACTATCGTGTCTCAGTTTGAACCAAGTGACTTTTATCTGCTGCTCCTTGCTACTGACGAATTTAACTGTATGTTTAACAGTGATCTGGGTGTGCAAACGTAAGCAACAGTTAAAACAGCATCAACTTCAATACACCTTTAGTCAGAACCTACATGCGAAACAGCTGTTAAATGATTCACTGAAATGTTCCATTTTATCTGGTACTACACCACAAAAAATTGGCGGAACACAGCAGCAACCAGTTTATCATAATGAGTTTGGGGCGTGTTTGAACTATGAAGTCTACGATGAATTTGAACCATCTAGCCGTACTAATTGTCCAAAATGTATGGCTTCCATGATAGAACAAATTAACCCCTTATTACCTTATCAAACAACAAGAAGCATCAGTCAAGTGTCGGTGAAAGACTCATTGAAACAGCCGTCAAATGAAGATCTTATCTACCTTAGTTTTTTGAATAGGCGTTCAATAACAGCTCACCCAAACTGCAAGGTACAACCAATATTGGAAGCAATGACAAATAAACCAACTGAAAATTCTAATATTTAGTTTGAATTTAGATTTATCGATAAGTGATGGAAATGATAGTGAAATAGGACATAATTAGATAATAACACTAAGTTTTATAGCTGCAAACAAAATACTTATCAATGTCCTTTGATCGTCACTATAATAAATATATTTCCATAAAATGTTTTTCTGAGTAAAAGGTTAATTAAATTATCTAACTGGAAATTATATAGCTGAAATTTCTCGAAGTATCTAATCACTAAGTAATGCTCTTCATGCTGGTTGACATGCTACATTGTCTAAGTGAGCAAGTAATACCTTTTAAATGTAGTATTATCTTCAGACAAAACTGAGAAGTACACAGCATACTAACGAAGTGTTTTCTAACAAACTTGATGAAAACAACTTCTGTAATCTAGATAATCAGTTGGTCGTAAAAGTCACAGAAAATGGTACACATGTCTATCAGTCCATATTGTCACCATATCAAGAGAAATTAAAAAGGTGAGAACCACATCAGGGGAAATAAAAGTATCAACTGTAGCGGAAAGACAAACATATATTATATAGTTTAAGAGAAATGTAAGGGACGATATGAAATTTAGAGTAAGATAGAGAATGGATGCATTAAGGATCAGTTTCAGGCTGTCAGTCAACGCCAGCCATAAATGAAGACCATTTCATTGAAGAGGTCTGGGAGTATATTTACATGTTTTGATGCTACGCAGTTCAACACACAATAATCCCATGAAGTGACTGTCTTTATAGTACTCCTCCTAGTCTTCTCCAAACCTGCTACTTTGCTACCTGAGTGGTTGGAAGGCTTATTTAGTATCGTTACGTTTCAGCTCCAAGAGGACGATAGACTTGGTCAGTACATTAACTCCCACGTCTGAGACATCTCTAACTCTCGCATCTGCCGATCCCAAACTCTAGTTAAAAGTTAGCTGATCACCGAAGCTAGCATCCCACACATTAATGGTTAGACTATTTCCTGTGGTTGCCAAGAGGATTTATTACCTTTACTCGTGAACTGGGGTCAGCGACCGCAGCCATTCTTGTAAAATTATGTTTATCTACCAAACGTAAGCTAACATCGTAACCTAACAGTTGAGAATTGAACACCAAAACTAAGGGTCTGTACAAGTCAGCCCGCAGTGGTTTAGTGTATCCCCTTCACAGGATAATTCCTCTAGTCCCTCTCTGGATCGGAAGGACGATTTTACACTCAGGAATTTAATAAGCGGTCCGCAGATCTTTATTTATGAATAAGACTACTTTCTTTTTTCAAAGTATTCTGCTCATTATTAAGGTTTTTTGAAAGTAAACTTAGTCTATCTTTTCCAAAGACAATTTCGCAAACTTTAAGCTCAGTTCTATTAGGCGGGTCTAAACAGTTGTCTAGTGTGATCTAATTGATTTGCTGAAACAAGCATGGAGTTTAAGTTGCATCAGATAAATTTTAGTATTGGGAATTCCACTATAACATCAGCTCTTATGAAACCGATTCGTAGTCATGTCCCAAACTAGGGAAGCAATTAGCTAGGTTTTCTACTGTTGACTATTGAGGCTTCGGTGAAGATTCAGAAAGAAACATGATTTTATGCAGCTATGGTGACCGTCGTGTCGGTAGAACGCCAGCCACTTAAGCTGGGATGTAGTATCTATTCGTAGTCACCGACTCTTGGATTGCAAACCGCCAGGTTGGAGTACCCGTGACAATCAGGTTCAATAGTTTGAGGTCTTATGTGACAAGGCTTAGAATTGGTCTAAATGGTAAAATGTGTGTTTTTTTCTCCCTCTAGATTTAAATTAACAGTATTATTTCTCACTCTTATCCGAGGCATCAACCCCTGCTTCTCGAAACATATTCTACTTAATCGTTTTAGTTGTTATTGATACTATTATTGTCTTGACTACTTTGCTCGTCACCTTTATCTCACTGTGATGATGCAATGTAGCGAATTCGCTCGGCCTACTAGTACTAAGTCCTAAGTAGATAATTGCTGAGTAATAACAACAATCCAAAAAAGTCGATGATAGACATACTTATGTGGTAGGCCAACTTACCAAGCTGTATGTCGATTATAACTTGATTAGATGTTTTGTTAACAAACCTTAATTTTTTTACCAAGGAGACTTGTTCTGATTAGAAAATGACTATCCTTTAAAAACAGGATTATCGAATCTGCTTTTATTGAATATACGTGACCATATAAATCATAGTCGCTAACTACTGATAGCTAAATTATGTAATTTCATGTGCTTAAAAATTAATATTGCATCTTCATTTTACTACAGATATTAGTCATCAAAAATAATTGAAAATACTATGCAGACCAAACGCCACAGTTCACACCGATATCCAGTGGAGTGTATTGGAATATAGAATCATTCACGATAACAATCACCAGAAACACTTTAACTGGTCCTAGATTTAAAATCCAGAAAGTATACGTTTGAAAGTCCAAAATATTATTAAAACAATCATCAAACAAGCACAATATAGCTGCAGAGTCAGGAAATTAAGTACCAGAATACAACAGTAATGTAAGGGAGAAAGAACAGTTCTAATATCTAACATATAGTTGAAGACAAATACCAATAGAATGAATGATTCTTTAAAATAGCATGAAATAGAAATACAAATAAATCTTTTATATACCCCTGAAAGAGACTAGAAGACTACTAATCCAAGCGTGTTTCTGAAAATAAACATGATGATTCAGTGGAATATGCTTTCTACGACAACAAATAGTGCAATGGTAATAGTAATATCTAGGAATAAAATAATTCGAAAATATCACGTTCGGTGCAGTAATCCTGTTAGATAACAATAACAATATCTGGAGTAAATAAGTATTCCCAACAGAAAACGTCGCGTTTATATTATTTCATGACTGAATACATAAAGTATGAGTTTATAAACCATATGCCTTCCACATCATAAGTTCGAAATAGGAATCCGAATCTATCGACGCACTAACACCGCTGTAGTAATTCAGAAATTCTTCCCAGGTAACCTGAAATAGTGCAATTAAAAATATCTCAGTAAGTTCACATTCAAAAGTTATTTCCATGTGGACATTCATATTTGCAAAGGATACCATAACAAAACTAACTCAAAAGTCACATTAGGGTAACAGGAGTGAAGACTACGTGTTTGCTTACAATTACTATAACACATTTAATACTTCTTGAAGCAAAAATATGGTATGACGAGGACACCAAGAAATTTACAAAAAATGCCTTAGTGATAAGATGCAAACTGACACTAGAAGCAAGTATGCCACAGTCTTCAAACCAATCTCTCAAACCTCTGATTTATCTTGATGAACGGAAGACAGCAATAGAGTCTTCATTCTAATGACAGTCGATGATCAATACAAATTCAGTGCATCATGTTTTTGATTTGGAATTAAGGTTTCCAAACGTCTGTTGAAAGACACCGAGATTCTAACCATATGGTTTATTAATAGTAATGACAATAAATATGCCCTTATTTCCTCTGTACTTAAATCACAAGGCCTGTGTAAGTAAATAAGACCATAAACTGAGACAATCTTCTGGTCTTATTAATGCTGAATGACATATTAATAGAATGCCACCCTGTGAAGTTATGAATGTTACTTTGCCATGGAAACTATCAGTGAACATATTTACAGACTGAAAGTAGTAGAGATCATGTACTTAACGGTATTCGTTTTTCAAAGTAATAATCGTACACATCAGTCAAACAACGCAAGGAAATGTGTTCTTAATATTCAGGCATTTTTCTCAAAAACAGTACTTATGAGTTGATTACATTTCATTTTAATAGTGCACCAAGAAATATGTTACACTAGACGAAGTAGCATCAGTTTTTAAAAAATGGAATCGGAGATATCATAGTATTAAGGGGACTTGGTGCATTCCCTCTTTTCATAGAACAGGTAGTAAGATGACAGTTGGGATATATTTCGAGTTGTGTCCGCTACCAGTTAAAGCCACTAAATATCACGATGGCCAGAACTCAATCATGTCAATACACAGTGGTAATTTCCCTTTCAGAGCACTAAAATGAACTTTGCATTTTCAACAAAAGAGCAAAACTAATATTATCAGATCCATTCAACACACACCAACACAGCAAGACTAATATCGTGTCACAAGCAGTACATGTCAACGAATGTTCCCTTGGTTTTTACTGTACATTGGTCGACGTTGTATACCATAGTGACACCCAATAACTGGTCACATAAGTTAATGAATACATACCGATGACATCTAGAATGACAGTGAAAATATCGAGTTTAGAGAAAATAATACTACAAAAAACAAGGTTTCGTGATTTGCGATACATACGACATTGTTTAAGCATTTGACAAAAGAGGATATAATTACTTCATCGGCTATGCCTTTTTTCCTTGCACTAATATACTATTACTTCACATACTACACTTTTATGTCGCTATGCTGATATGGTATGGCAACTTGGTGCACTCAACTAATATATTTGTCCCTCAATGGTGCTCACGTTCTCTTTGAGGATCCCTTTGGATGAGTAACATTACCATTATTCCAGAGTGATGGAACACTCAGTTGATTATAGTTTTTAGTTAAAGTTGTTTCCACACTACCACTACGTAGGGTCGGATAAATTCTCTGTCTGCCTGTGTCCAGTATTTTGGGCGAATTTTTAGGTTTACAATTGACGCATCATCAACCTCAGACTGCAGCGTTGACATAAAATATATTCCAAAAATCTAGGAAAGAATTACCGTCTTGGCAATAATAAGTAACTTTTGACCAAATCGGCTTCTTTTCAACCGCTCTCAACCAGGAATTATCTTGCCCGTAAGATCAAACCTTCGGGAAACCAAAAAATTTAAAAATACCTTAAGTGGTACCTAAGTGGTATAACTACAAATAATGTTATGGAAAACAGTTTCTCCTTACCAACAAAAAAAACTAATTCAGTCAACTGTAAAACTATAAACCGATATGTCACAGTTAAAAATCATGTCATCAATGTTCACATGACTGTCATGCGACTAATAAAACCAGTGTGGTTCTGGGCGTAAACATCAGGTTAGTGATGGTGACGGGTTTTGCTTGGTTTCTTATAACAATCATAATCTTAATTACAAAATATCATACAACTCCAACTAAATTAATACCACTAAGATAATTGACTCTAAACTAGTCACAGAGATACACAAAATTGCAAACGTTTGATAAGATTTAAAGATTTCAATAAACGTGAACAAACCAAATTACTTACGACACCATCCACAGACTTCTCGTTTTCAAATGTTTTTAGAAACTCTCTTAGAACTTGATCTTCAGTCGCTCTCCCAGACGTGTATTTGGCATCATATTTAACTTGATACACGTTGTGTAGATCATCCAACTGAAAGGGAGTTGTTGAAAAGTCACTCATGTATTGTTTTCAAACTCCACAACTTCACATACTAAATTGTGAGACTACTTATTTTACTATGGCTTCATGTGAAAGATTCTTACAAATGATAGCATTACTAGGCTTACTACCGTTCTGTTAACTTTCACGTAAAGTGTCGAAGCCGTACCTGCAGTAATGCTTGGCTAGTGAGGAGTGAAACAAAATAACACTTGGACCTCTGTTTGAAATAAAAAGCACAAAACGTAAATCATTATCTAACTACATAAAGTCAGCGTCGTAAAGCATACAGATTTTAGTCAGATAAAACTAATAGTGTCACCTTATATGAAGCTGAAGATGTTTAACCTAATACAATCGCGTTGATTTGCCATGCCCTATACCATTGTCGCATAAACCATATACAAGTTATCCAACTAATACTTTCTAATTGCAATGACAAGTGTATGATCTGACCATTTTCTCGTAGATTAAACCTAAGTGATCCCTATAAACAAGGTATTTACCACAAATATCTCCCATTGTTGAAACATATTCCGTGCTTTGTACGAATATTAACACTGCTTATAATACTACCATAGTTTAATTACCGTAATTTTCCCGTCCCCGGTTTTGTCCATTTTATTGAATGCCTTCCTGACAACATCTATTCGTGAATTTGACATTGGTGGCTAAAGAAATAACTGTACAGTACTTAGCAAACCTACGCGTAAAGCACGTAGAAACTCGTCGAAAATTATTGTACCACTGCCATCCTTATCTACCATTCTGAAAAGCACATCAACCTCCTCTGGAGTTAAGTTACAGCCGAAATCATGGCAACCCTTCTTGAACTCTTCTTTAGATAAAGACTTGCTCCCATCGTCATCCATGATACGAAATTGTTTTCCAAATCCATAGATACCATTCGCTCCACGCAACAAGCATTGACATCTGAGTTTTTCCAGTGGGTCTTTGGTCGAAGTAAGTACTTTACGGGCATTTGACTGTAGGTCACGGATGTCCGCCTCACTAGCAGTCATATTTGACGTTTAGCCCAAAAAACAAATTAGTGCGTTAGTGACTACTACTTTGCTATTTATTATTGTATACATTATAACACAAAAGTTCAATGAACAGCGTCCGTTTTTATTGGTTTTATTCGTTGTGGAAATGTTAAAGGATCTTTTACTTTAAAGAGAGCATTTGTTTAGAAGTAATAGATCAATAACACCTAGGGCTACAGAAAGGTTTTTAAAAAAATTTCAGTTTCAGTCTCGGAAGGATGGAAGGTGAGTAACTTGTTTTTGCCCTGATGATAGGATCTCTCAGTTAATACAGTTTTCCTTAGAACGTATCCACATATGGAACCATAATTAAGTGTTTATATAAGGAGCTTCAATCGTTGATTCGACGTGGAAGTCGACAGTCACTTAACAACAATTAATTCTGGGCCTGTGAGATTTTTTGTGGTAGCATTATAAATTCCCTGTCATGGAAGACGAAAAGAATTAAGTTAGCCAGATGCGAAACCGTTATTAAGTTATTTAAAAGCAGTAATCGAGTAATATATATTCCTTCGAAGTGACTAGGAGAAAAGACTTAGTATAGTCGGTCTCTCTTCATACGGCAGCTTTGCAATTCTAGTACTAAACCTTTTTATTATTTCACTGTCTCTTTTGAGCAGAATTAGCGGCTTGTACCCACTGCGCGAGTACAGGACAAACAGACGCTTCGCACAAGACGGTGTTAACATTGTTGCAGTAAATAAATCACCAAGATAAATAGCTCTGTAAGTTTTCGACATTGGATGCTGACCAGATTAGTTGTAGTGGACTCATCTAGCTGAAGGCTCTCGGTCATGCATCCGCACCAGATCACGTGTGATAACGCTGTGCTTAACATCTACCGCAATCGCTAGCCAGATTAGATCAGAGAATTCTGATATATTGGTTATCGCCAAATACACTCTTCCGATCTCCTCGACTCTGTCTTTTGATTTCTCTTGGTGGGTACAAATTATATTAGATGGTGTTGCTGGTAAAAGCGTTGTCAAACACTGAACACCTGTGCCATCTTCAACATCTATGTAGTTAAAGGCTTGAAGTAATGACCAATGTTTCTTAGATTTTCAGTACCTACCACGCAAAAGCAGGTAGTGGTTTTTATATCCTAGTCGACATTTACATCTAAATCAGGGTGTATTTCGTCGACAGGTAGTTCAACGTTATTTACAGTGTATGTTTCTGTACCTTTGTGATCAATATAAATCATGGTGCAGTTAGAGGCATTTACCTGAAACTGCCAAAATCCAGACCGCTCGGCTCGTTCCCTTGGGTTGTTTATAAGCTTTAATCTGTCAACATTTTTTATCGCCTATCATATCTTGGTACCGTCAGCATGTAAGAAAACCGACGATGATGGGGGGGCGAGGAAGGTCTTTTATACATAAGTGGAATAACACTAGTTTCAAGGCTATACTTTTAGACACTCCATTGAGCACAATTTTCCATCTGGAAAGCTTGGTGCTAACATGTACACATTTTTAGAGCACACCTAGGAAATCATTCATCCGTATAAGCAAGTTTACTCTGATCTCGATATCTCCCGAACTAGATAATAACCAGTTGTCTGGGAGCTTGTCAAAATCCCTGCCAAAGTCAATAAAAGCCACATATCTGTGCAGATGTACAACAACTTTGTTGTGTTGCTGAAGTTTTAGTGGTGGTAGATACCCTTCATTTGACAAAAGTAAACAGCCTGTAAATGTTTGTTATAGATTTTCATTCACATCGTAGGATTATAGGGAATATGATGGCCAAGAAAAATCGGGAAGTGTAGTGTGGTTATAAAATAGGGACTGAGAGTGTATGTAGTGTAGTTTGTGGATACGAAAGATTCCAGTTAGGGTCGTTGTTGAGAAAAAATTCAGTTATCAGACAGCAGGAGTCTTTATAAAAACACACGAAGGTTGGGCTCCACAACGAAAGTGAAGTATACTTTTAATTAATTTTGACCGAGGACAAAATATTGACCTAAAGAGTCATGATTTAGACTTTACATCTCATGCAGAGTTAAAGTCGGTCAGAAACGAAGGGAGAAGAACAGGATCATCGCTTGCGTACAACTGCACATTAGTCGATAGAGAGTCAACACGAAGTCACCATTTTGGCTCGCAGAACTCTATCTCAAGGTTCTGTAGTGTGAATACGAGAAAACGCGGTATGTAACATCATTCTGATTTCATTGGTAATGATGATTAGTGGTGATGAAATACAGAACATCATTTACTTCGTACACTATCTGGCAAGTATCTTGCTTATTGTTAACAGGACTCGAATAGTAGAGTACGGGAGTGTTTTCTGCACACACATTCATACAAACAAAAGAGAGACAAAGAGTGAGTGATTATTACGATCGGTTGCAATATTTTTGTAATGTTGTTAATGTTTAAATAAATAGCTAATAAGAGCGAAGACAACAAACACACATGCTAGTCACACACAATTCACTTTAACTCGGTTGACGAGGTCATTGTAAACAAAGGCATATGAAATCGTCACCAAACATTTGTTCAATTTAAGTGACCCACTTAGTGGATGGAGGTGTTTAAACAAAATTATATTGCACAAAGATGCAACAAGAACCAATACAAGTAGGAAATAAATCTCATTGCTTCAAACAATCTTGTGAGGAAATTAGAAAAATTGGGCTAACCTAAACCTAAAATCGAACACGCTCATGATTGAGAAAAACGGAACTACGTTTGTCTGGAATTAATCTAGACGCAGGTTAGAGCAGACAAGAAGACATTTTGAAACATTGATCTTTGTATATATAGACTGCTTTAATTGGTTCTAAAGTTCATGAAACACATAAGTCTTCGACTAATCAGCTCTTGAAGGTAAGTTAATGTCGGCCGTTGAATATTGTCTGATATCACTTCAGTCAGAAGCAAACGGAAGATATATCAAGAATAACTTCTAGGTTCCTTATGACTTAAAAATGCTCGGCGAATGTTGACCAATCCCGTCTTAAATCAACTGAATAGGGAGAAGGACGGTTGAAACTGAAGAAACTGTTATTCAGTAATTCAAATATAATTAGATAATATACCAAATGCTACTAAGCGACTGCAGAATTCCCAAATATTTGAAGGTAATTCTAATGGTAAATATTCGTGGTACTTTATATCACATCACTCCATTCACTTCAAACCTATGAACTGAGACAGTCACCACTCAATTATGATTGCTCGACGACCACGACCGGGAAAGACGAAATTTCAAGGATTGCCAGAGGTACGTGTTAGGCCAGTTCTGAAAGTAGTTCTAGTTGAACTAGCACCCGGGTGACAAATCGGTTTTCAAAGAGCTAAGGCTTGAAAGTCAACGCTACCAAAGAATATGTGGATACATTCTTACATTTAAGAATTTGTATATCGATTCCCACAGTAAATGATCTGTTTTGTAAGTCAGCGTCATCAATAGACAAATTAGAGAAATAATTAAACTTATACCTGCAATTGAAAGTTAATTAGCACATGGCTGTGATGCTAATGCCGAGTTCCACTTGCTAAGGACAGTAACATTTGCATTGAGACACCTTTTTCTGTAACTCCTCCCTTTGTGGTTCATGCCTCTGGGGCTTCATTATTCTCGTGTTTCCAGAACAGCTTTCCAAATTGTAGCAGAAAGTAACTCATTCACATGCAAAAGGTCACGTGTGACTCGCGTATAGCTACAGTCTATGATTTTTGGTCAATACTTATCCTATCATCAACACATTTACAGCATGAAATGTTGCCATTTCATCACAACAATACGAATAAGTGAGCTAAATTTTAAAGATATTTCATAGATGTAGGTGTAATGTTCAAGTTTTTGCTCTTTCCCGTATCGAAGTACGGTGTATCGATCTATTTGCAATTTACGAACCCAAATTAACAATAGAACCAATTTAGGTACCAAAGTTAATTCGCAATTTACAAATAGTCGATCCAAATGTTGTTCTTCAATTTTGTAGGTTCCCGTAGTAAACCAAAGACAAAGAGAAAACAAAATGTCCGAAAATAATGATATGAACAAACGAGTTCAGAAGTTGAGTAAAACAAATACATCCAAAAACAGTGAAATTAAGAATATATAATATAAAGGTTTTATTCAGCCAAATGTCTTCAGTTCTCCGTAGCAATAGGATCACGACGAAGAAGTGTGTGTGTGTCACCGCTTATAAAATATTGAGATGCACTGTAACAATGTTCGATTGGTTTATGAGTCGCGCCTAAACATAAACAACTGTTTTATTTACACAATTGATATTTAACCTAATGAAAAGATGAGAAACAGAAGCAGCCAACGCAGTGTCAAAAGTGTTGAAATGCACTCGGTCGGCATGTTACAGAAGCTTGAATATAAGAGATGAAGTTGAGAAAAAGTGACAAAATAAAGTCATTATGAGAAAATATCATTTCCATACACCTGGTATTACACATAAAGAAGCGTAGGCTACTCACCAGTGTTCTCCATGAAACTATATACTCAGCAATCCTTCACAGTTGTTTACAATCACAAAATATTTTTCGATACGTGCTTTCAAAGCTTGATGCAACCTAGACTAAGATAAGTTTCGGGGATCACTGTTAGCATTTTTCTTATCCAGGCTAAGCGTTTGTGAATTTGAGGGTATCTTCTCTGTTCCCGAGAGTCTCATTGTCATCTACTTGCGTTTTTGAAAAACTTGATGACAGGAAATACGGAGTAGAGCTCGTCAACTAATGACCAATCGACATTCTGGTAAAAAACAATCTGTCTTCTAACATTCTACTTATTCATTAGTATCAGACCTTCGTTCGTGCGAATCAAAGAGATTCTGTAGTAACACAAAAACAAATAGCATAAATGATAACCATCTCACTTTGAATCAAAAGATCAACGGAACATACAGATGAAGAGATCAAGAAGAATAGCTCCACATTTAGAACAACGGCAACAAATTACATTAAAAAACATGTATGTAGAGGAATTTCCATGCACATCCAAGA